ACATTACAGGACCCTGAGAGGACCCGAAAAGAGCCACCAATCACACAGTCACCAATTACAGAGTGTTCTTCATATCTTAGGAGCTCTGGCAGCACAGTGGTTAAAGCATTCAGCTACTAACCAAGTGGTGAGTGGTTAAAACGCACCAGCCACTCCCCAAGGGAGAAAGATGAGGCTGTCTGCTTCCATAAAGATTTACCAAACAAAATAAAACCTACTGCCATTGAGTCGATTCTGACTCATAGTGACCCCCATTGGGTTTCTGAGGCAGTAAATCTTTATGGAAGTAGATTGTCCAGTTTTGCTTCTGCAGAGTGGGTGATGGGTTTGAACCACCAGCCCTCTACTTAGCAGTCAGATGCCTTAGGCTCTGCACCACCAGAGCTCCCTGTAAAGATTTACAGCCTTGGCAATCCCATGCGGGCAGTTCTCCTCTGCTTATAGGGTCATTATGAGTCAAAACTGACTTGATGGCAGTGGGTTTTTTCTCCCATGTTGGAGGGGTCTATGAACTTCACAGGCACATCTCATTTAATCTTTATAACAATGCTTTTAGGTTTTTATGTTATCCCCATTTTGCAGGTGAGTAAACTAGGGAACTGGATCACACAGCTAGGAGCACAGAGCGCAGGTTCACAGCAGCTATATCTCACTCCACAGATCATGAACATATCACATCTTAGAGAAGTCACACTTTCCAACAGCAGAAATTGAGGAGGATGAAGACCCAGACTTATGCATCTAGAAGTGTGACGAGAGTGGCCCCAGAGATGGGGGCTCTGACGTCCATGACAGGGGGTCTCGTTTAGGGAGCAGTATCAGAGAAGACCTCTCTGGGGAAAGATGTGGAAGCTGAGATTGCACAGGGAGCAGGAGCTAGGTAGGTAAGGAGTAGGAAGAACATTCCAGCTGAGAAGGAGCAGCCAGAGAGTACAGGCACTGACTGGACAGGAAAGAGGCTGGCATGTCACGTAAACATGTGGTGAAGGGAGAAGAAACTAGAGAAGACTGAAGGACTAGTGTGTGCTGAACCTTGCAGAACACATATTTTGTAGTTTGTCTTAAGAACCATGAGTGACCCCTGAAGGCCTAGACCATGGCAATGGCATGCTCATCACTTCACTCCTGAGTGGAAAATGCACCAGGGGTGCATGAGTGGAGGCAGATGGCAATGAGAGGCTGACACATGGTCCAGGAAGAGGTGACGTTAGCTTGAACTAGGGTCACAGCAGGGGAGAAGGGCATGAGAGGTTCTCAGAAGAAACAATGAGTAGAACTTGGTGATGGACTTGAGGGAGTGGGTGGCGGGTAGAGAGAAATGGATCCAGATGCCTCCCAAGAAGACTGTGGTACCATTTACTGGGACAAGGAGACGAGGCAGGCAGGGGGCAGGAAGAGGACAGAGGGAGATGCTGAGTTTAGGGTGAGGCATGCTGAATAACAGTCACTTGAGACTGTGGTTAAGGTGCTGGGCTGCTAACTAAAAGGGAGGCAGTTCAAACCCACCAGCCATTCCACTGGAGGAAGATGAGACAATCTACTTCCATAGAGATTTACAGAGATTTACAGCCTTGGGAACCCAACGGGAGTCACTGAGTTGGAATCGACTCGATGGCGGTGGGTTTTATTTTGGGGGGCTGAAGTGGGGAAGACAACAAAAAGGAGATGTCAAGAAGGTAACAGACTTGGAGCTCATCAGAGGGATCTAGGTTGAGGCATACTTTGGATTCCTCAGCAACAGAGGCTTGCTGAAGCTATGAGAATGAGTTCAATTGGTAGGAAGAGAAATGGGCCTAATGTAGACCTTGGACCTAGTAGGCCAGCATAGTGGTTGTTGGCAAAGAAAGCTGAGAAGGAGTAACCAAGTGGGTAAAAGTGTGACATTGTGCAAGCCAGGAAAGGAATGTATTTAAGAATGAAGGACTGGTCAACTGTGCTGAATGCTGCTAAGAGTTAGCTTTCTTAAAAAACTGACTTTGGTGAGGAATATCCAAGACTCAAGGAAACAGTTAGTCCAAGGACTAATGGACCACGGAAACCATAGCCTCCACTACCCTGAGACCAAAAGAACTAGATGGTACCTGGCTACCACTACCAACTGCTCTGATCAGGATCACAACAGAAGATCCTGGAGAGAAAGGGAGAAAAAGAAAATGTAGAACAAAATTTTAAAAATACAAAGATCACCAGACTTACTGGTCTTATAGAGACTGGTGGAACCCCAAGATTGTAGACCTTAGACAGTCTTTAAGCCTGGAACTGAAGCCATCCCTGGGGATCAACTTTCAACTAAATATGAGGCCTGTGAAGTGAGTACCATCACACAGGAATGTACACCTCAGTACAACCAACCAAATGAGACCAAAAGGGTACCATTTCCCCAAAAACAAAGCTCAGAAGGCAGGAATGGGCAGGAGAGAAGGATGAATGGAAAATGCAATTGCTCTGTAAACTTTCACCCAAACCACAATAAAAAGTTAAACAAACAAACAGACTCTGTCACTGTTCTTGATTAAAATCTCACCATAGCCTCTAAGAAAGTCTAAATTCCTTATCATGGAACACCAGTCCTCTCACAAGCTACTGCTGGTATACCTCTCCAGATGCGTATCCCCAAACTCCTCCCAGAACTATGTTCTTGACAAGCTGATGCACTCTCTGCTGTCACTGTGTAGGTGCATGTCACTTGCCTCGCCAGCAGCCCTTCTCTCAGAAATCATTTTTGTTTGGAGATCTACCCCACCCCTACCCTCTTCAGCTGATGTGGCTCTGAGGTCACTATGTGCCCTTGGTGCATCCCAACCCCTGACAGTAACTGATTGGGATGGGGATAGGAAATACAATGAAGTTGGCCCAATCAGTGTGAATCTCACAGAACACAGGCTTGTACTGAAATTCCAAAGTGGACTGGAGTCTAGAAGGACATGGCCCACAAGTGTTGGCAGCCCTGTGATGACCATGAGAGAAAAGTTTATCTGAGAACAAGGCCGACACATGAAAGAGGGCAGAACCGAGAGACAGAGAAGCTGGTTCTGGTGACACTGAGTCCTTGCTTTAAGCCAGACTGGAAGCCAGATTAAATCTGAACCAAGTAGTTGTGTTGTTGTTGTTACTATGTGCCGTTGAGTCAAACCCAACTCATGGCAACCCCTCCTTGGGTTTCCGAGGTGGTATCATATCACTATGGAAGTAGATTGCCCAACCTTCCTTCCGAGGAGTAGCTGGTGGATTTGAACTACCAGCCTTCTGGTTAGCAGTCAAGTGCCTTAGGCAGTATGCTACCAGAGCTCCTAAGTCAATGTGGGAACCATGAATTTCCTTTCATTTTAATTTTTTCTTAAGGTTAGGTCTTCTGTGACTTGCAACAGAATGAATCCTAACTAATGTATAAATACTGTTTCCCCTGCTTAACATGTTTCCCTGTTTCTCCATCTGGAACACTTAACCGAGACTCCTCAGTGAAGCCTCCTCAGTCTGCTCTGGGCAGTGATCGCCCTCAGTACTTCCCCAGAGCCCGGCATTATCCTGTGTCCACTCTGGCCTCCATGGCCGCCTGCCCCACTAGACTGAGGCTCCTCTGGGTGAGGGCCGTGTCTTGCACACAGTTTTATCCCTGATGCCTCACACAGTACCTGCTGCATAAGAGTCATGTGTCAAATGTCTCCCGAATGACTCTCTGATTCAATGAACAAATGAACCAATGAATTATACGCAGTGATGGTAAAACTCTGTTTCTATATTTTTCACTGAAAACAACCCAAACATCACAATATTCACTATTAAGAGCTAGGAAGATATTGAAGAGATTGAAAGGGGGGTGTGGGGAAGGTTCAGAAATGCTTAAACCAATGAAAAATTAATCTCCCTCATTGGCCACGTACATTTTCAAAATGTCATTATTTTAGTCATAGAAATGGCCTCTCCGAATAAAAAAATAAAGCATGTGCCCTACTCCCAGAGGAAATAAACCCATTTAGCTGTGCTGCATCAAAATAATTTCCCCAAATCTGGTATTCAAAGCTCATTAAGTCAGGTTGGCTGATTTTTCCATAATTATTTTAAATGCTCACCATCTACAGAATTTCACTCCAAACCCAAACAAACAGTCCACGGCACTTAATGAGCAGACACTGGTGCTCAGGCCCCAGGACTGGCTGGCAGCTTCAGTGCTACACTGGGTTAGCGTTAGATGTCCACAGAAGACATCTAGAGCAGGACCCCGTTACTGTGGTAACAAGCGCAGGGAAGCAAAGGGTGGTTGCCGTGTATAAAATGGGGGCTACACACAGGAAGCACTGAGGAAAAACACCAGGCTTCCTCCGTTCAGAGCAGACATTCAACATTCAGGTGCTGGAAATTGAGTTGCCAAAACCTCAAACAAGGAAACATACAGAAGGCCAACTGTCCTGCCACCAGCAAGGCTCTCAAGCCAGAGGAAAATGTTACTCAGGTCTGAGTACCAAAGGCTGTTTATATTTTTGAAAGGAGTGTTTTCCAAACTACATTTAGATTCAGATTTGGTTGCAAGTGAACTGAAATCTAAGCTAACAGAAGAGACTCCTCTAAACACAACTGTTATGAAGACAGCTTACCCCTTGCAGCACTCATCCCCACGCATTACTCTTTGCTACGTTTATGGGTCAGAACGAGACACTCGGGTACTAGCTCAACAGGCAACAGGATGCTCCAGGTGTCACACACTCCACATCTTGTTCTGCTCAGTCTGTGTTGGCCTTGAAATGCTTATTACGAAAATTCTACAAAGACCTGAGTTTTTAGTGATAAATTTTTAACATCCATCCAATCACCAAATTCTAAATTAAAGCAGGCTTATTGATGTTGCTGTTGTTACGTGCTGTCGAATCAGACCCAACTTAGGTGTCAGAACAGAAAACAGAAACAAAAGACCAGTACACAGAATGCAGAAACCCAATATACAGCCTGACAGAGGACCAACAGGAACAGAGCAGACTTCTGCAGGATTTCCCTGCTGATGGTACCTTATCTGATTTTCCTCATTATCCACCAGGAGGGACCAGCGGAACCTGACGACCAAGGGGCTGCAGTTGGTGACTGTGATGTAGCGAATCACCTCCGTGTCGTTCAGGATGCAGCCGAAGTCCAGCTCCTCGGTCTCAAAGCTGAGGTTGGGGTAATGCACTTCTCCATGCAGCCTCAGGCTGTCCACCTGAGGGTGCTCCAGGTACTTAATTGCTAGAATTTCTTCTGCCACCCAGCTGTTGAAATCATTTCTATAGAAAGGGTCAAACTTGACCAGCAGGTTTTTTTCTCCACCAAGCTCCAGTTTAATAGGCTACAAACAAGATAGGGAGGACTTATCAACCTGTGTACAACGCATTTCCATCCTGTTAGAGGAAACAGGGCAACTAAAATGTTTCTGATACATGTATATTAACACATATGTATGTGTATACATAAACACATGCACATATTCACATTAAAAAAAAAAAAAAACCTCACTGCCATCGAGTTGTTTCTGACTCACCCCATTGAGTTTCCGAGGCTGCAGATCTTCACATATGTAAGTATATATGTATACACATACGTAATCACCAAACCAAACCAAACTCATTGCCAAAGAGTCGATTTGACTCCTAGCAACCCCTCCTTGGGTTTCCGAGGTGATATCACTATGGAAGTAGGTTGCCCAACTTTCCTTCCGAGGAGTGGCTGGTGGGTTTGAACCGCCAGCCTTCTGGTTTGCAGTCAAGTGCCTTAGGCCACCAGAGCTCCCACACATATATGTAGATATATGTATTTTTTATTAGTGTGAAAATGAAAGCAAGGACAATCTTAAGAGAGGTATTAGTGAAGGAACTAATTTTAGTAAGATTTTAATAAGAGTTGTGGCATTATAAGCATTGACAAGTTGTAAAAGGGAAAATCTTCAATAAGTATTATAAAATAGTCTTAACTAAAAGTAAATTTGATTGTGAAATGCTCTTTTTAGACAAGCGGGTAAACTTGTTTGCTTAAGAAATTTTAAAAAGGCTTTTTATAATGCGCTGTGGGGAGGGGGTCTGTAGAGAGGGGCCCAGAAAAGGGCAGATTAGCTCAGCTAACGATTCCTTCCTAATGTCTGCGATCCTAACTCTGAAGCACCGCTTCACCTACTTTCCGCTGTTTGCTGTTCCACTCCGACGGCACTCCAGAGCGGCACAGTTCGTTTGGTAGATTTTACTTGGTCTTCGCTCTGAGTCAGAGTCTCATGCGTCCCTTGATACCACCATCCACAGTAACACTTTCCCATGGAACGTATGAGCTGGCTTTTCTAAGACATGGCTCTAACAGCATGAACCTCACGGTTTTGCAGAAAGTGCCCTGAGGGGTCTCGAGGACTGCACATAAGAATGGGTCTGTTTTACCGACCATGTCTATGCTGAGTTTGAATGGTTCAGGTGCTTTTAACCCTGTGCTTCAGTGACATGATTAGAGGATTTTGGTTGATAAAGCCAATCACCTGATTCAAGAATCAGAGACAGGCTGATGGCTCTTGAATCGGCCTAATCCCATCTGAAAGCCAAGCCTGTCACCCATCCTTTTATCTTACGGTTAGAGGACTGGGGATTGGTTTTTCTTTGTTTCATTGAATATGGACCTTTGGTCAGATTTGAGGGAGAGAAGTTTAAAGATCTTTATTATCATTAGTAGGTGAATGAAGTGCCCTTTTCTTAAGACTCATTTCATGACAACGGGCAGGAATGAAAGAGCTATCACAATGAGCTGAAGTTCCTACCCTGTTAACAATAGTTTTTGTACTGATGACACCAGAACTTATTTATAACTCACTTAAAAACTCCTATATTCCTTCCGGCTTGCACCTTTGAATTTTTATATTTTTCTTGACTAAAACAAGGCAAAACCAAATTCACTGCCATTGAATTGATTCCACCTCATAGCAACTCTATAGGAACAGACTAGAACTGCCCCACAGGGTTTCCAAGGCCGTAAATGTTTACAGAAGCAGACTGCCTCATCTTTCTCCTGTGGAGCAGCTGGGGGTTCAAGCTGCCGACCTGTTGGGTTAGCAGCGAAATACTTTGACCGTTAAGCCACCAGAGCTCCTTGAAACACGGTTGTATACTGCTGTTCTTCTCCTCCTTTATTGCCCCAGATCTCCCCCCATGGGGCTCATGATGACAGACCCTCCTGGTTACCTGAGGAGTTGCTGGCAGTGGGGACTTGTCAGTTTCGCAAATAAGGAATGCTCCACTTGTGGAGAGCAACATGCACACAGGCAGGGTGGAAATGTTCTTTATAGACAAGGGCTGGTAATTAGCCTCCAGGACAGTGTCAGGTTCCTGTGGAAAAAGGAAAAAAGAGGAACCAAATCAAGTTAAGGTAAACATGGTAAGCTTACTGCAACAAAAGTCCTATATTGTCAATAGCAGAATTAGCAATTTCATATATATACACACACACACGAATACACACACAGGATATACATACTTTGATTTTTATATATACATACAAGGAGCTCTGGTGGCGCAACGCCTAAGGCATTTGACTGCTAACCAGAAGGTTGGTGGTTCAAACCCACCACCTGCTTCACAGAAGGAAGATGAAGCAATCTACTTCCATAAAGATTCATCACCTTGGAAAACCAATGGTGGTCACTATGAGTCGGAATCGACTTGATACAGTGCATTTGGTTTTTGTTATATATACATATGTGTAAGTGTGTGTAAACCAAAAAAACCCACTGCCACAAGTCGATTCTGACTCATAGCAACCCCCATTGGGTTTCCGAGGTGGTAAATCTTTACAGAAGTAGATTGCCCAGTCTTGCTTCTGCATAGTGGCTAGTGGGTTGGAACCACTAACCTTCTGGTTAGCAGTCAGATACCTTAGGTACTGTGCTAGCAGAGCTCCTTGTGTGAGTGTGTGTGTGTGTGTATGTTGTTGTTGTGTGCCGTGGAGTCAGACCTGACTCGTAGTGACCCCCCTTGGGTTTCCGAGGCAGTATCACTACAGAAATAGATTGCCCAATCTTCACACACACACACACACACACACACATATATATATACACACACACATACATATATGTGTATATATATTTTGGCAGAGGGTTAGATAAATCATTTGGAAGGTATGGTGGGCTACTGAGAAGTGGACCTACATAAGTCGGTAAACACAGATTAGATCTTACTGCCTGGTTGAAGACCTGACATAAGCCATGCCTCTGAACAGTACTCTTACTCTGGAAGTTTCCACAGTATCACAAAATAAAGTCTAATAAATTAGTGATAAGATCTTGTAGAAGAATCTAGGTATCATCATCATGAATAAAACATTTCCCCTTATGTTGCATTATATTTGCATGCTCAAGATACCCAAATTGCAAATACATTTACCTTGTTATGTGGACGACACATGGTCATGACTATTTCCTATGAAACTTTCCTGGCAGCACTGGGAAAGCTGATTTTGAAGCATCTTTTCACCCTGTTTGATTTATCAGACTGAATTTTTCAACTGGAGAAAGCATCAGAAATGGTTTTTGGGCTAGAAGTTTCTAGTTAGACTGGACTTTTCTCATTCTGATGTTGGGTCCCACATTATTTCCTAGCCACCCCAGAAAGAGGGGACTTCCGTATCAGCAGGAAGTGACCAGAAGCCTCGCTATCTGGCCTCCCAAGAGAACCTCCCTCCAGTCATGCTGTCTCAATGAGCTGGCACTTGCAACAGCTCGACCTGTTTCCCCCAGGCCTTCTTGTTTTGGCTTGCTTTTTCTCTGTGATCCTAGTCCAGCGAGATTGCCTGTTCTGCGTGCTGATCAGACCCCGTCGTCTTCAGGTTCCTGCCCAGCACAGTCCCTGGCTCTGGGTGAGCCTCCTGCCTCGACTGGACTCTTGCAGCCCTCTCTGGCCTTCCAACGTTATTTCAGGGGTCCCGCCTGACGTTTATGGTGAGATGCAGCCTTCAGTCCCCTCCCCTGCACAGGTGACCCTTGCATTTCCAGACTGCACAGCCCAGTGTGAGGGACACAGCAGCACCCTCTGACTCACTGGGCTGCAGAAGTGGCACCCGGTCACCTTCCCTGAAGGCCGTTGTGCCACTGCAGGTAACTTTTGAGGTGAAGGAGCCACACTTGGTTGGTTCTGGCGTGAGGCCATTCAGAGGTTACTGATGACAAGGAGTCAACACACAAAGAGCCCGTTCTATTTTAAAATGACTCGCCTCTCTCTGGGTTGTTTGTCTCCCCAGATAATCAGCAGACAGAATTTGCTGCTGGGAACTTCATGGAGCAGCAAACTGGCTGCTGATTCCAACTGACCTTTTCAATCCCACAGAGATGTGGTTTCATCTCTGTGGCTTATGACTGGTCTAATACTTACAAAGGAGATCGATTCTGGGGCAAGTTATTGAAAATTCCTTCCCATCAGAAGGGTCGGTATCATTCTATCCTGATGTACTAAAATGCAGATACGCGGCCTTGAGCTGCAAACCAGGAGGCAGAATAGGTAATTGGCAGGTACACACTGAGTCTGGATGGGAGACCTGACAGGTCCTGTGCACAGGCTGAGAAACGAAGCTGCAGTTTTTGGTGTCCCTGACAGGGATTCAGTGTGAGCAGGAAATGAACAACGAAAACCACAGTGGGAGGAAACCCTATGGGGCAGTTCTACTCTGTCTTATGTCATAGAGGGGTGCCGGGAGGTGGGATCAACTGGACAGTCCACAACACCACCAAATAGGAGAGATTTCAAACATCTGATTTTGAGAGAAGGACCAACACAAATAAGTGGGGAGTTGTGACTCCATTCATTTTAAAACATTCACCAAGAAGTGACTGCTACATGAGAAATACTTTCATATTTGAATCTAGTGATAAAAGTAAACACTAGGACCCAAATCACAATAAAGAAATAAATAAAGATAAAAAAGTAAACACTAGGCATTTAAACAAGAATAATGATTTTCTTTAAGAAAAGGCATAAGGATTTAAAGAGAAAAAAAGAGAGATTACTCACACATTTTTATGAGTGGTTATGGGCTTTAAAAAACAAAAATCCTTAAGAAACCAAGCTGCATATTTATTATGGTATCTTGCACGTAATGGCTATTCAATACATAGTCACTGAGTTTTCTCTGAATAACTATATTCAAAGGAAATACGACAACACTAAATTCAGAGATGCTTTTGCCAATAAATATATTCCTGACTATTTAAAAAAAAAAAAAAAGAATTTAAAAAGGCCAGCGAAACGAACACTGAGACACTGCAGCAGGAGCTGTCGTAGTGCTTCCTTTGTCCGGGTCTTGTGGAGCTGGTCAGATCACTGTGGCTGCATCCTGTACCCGAGAGCCTCAACCTACCTCATCGATGTCGACCTGTCCCACTGCTCTGTTACGCCTGCCACATGGGTCTTAATAAATATTCCACCTGGAAGTCACTGTGACTGTTGTAATGAATAAATCTGACTATGTCACTCCTCTCCTTGAAGCCCTTTTTATCCATGTTATGAGGTGTTTTGTGGATTCTTCATTATTCTTTAGTGTAGCATAGTATTCCACTGTGTTTATATACCATAGTTTGTTGATGGGCACTTAGGTTGTTTCTATCTCTTTGCTATTGTGAATAGTGCTGTCACAAACATGGGTGTGTATGTATCTATTTGTGTCACCCTTCTCATTTCTGTAGACTATAGACTTAGTAATAGGATTGCCTAACTTCTACTTTTCCTTCAAGTTTCAACTAGAGGCGCTTCCTTAAGAAAGCTATCCAAGAGCACATGTACAAACAAGGCCATGTCCTATATAATCTCACAGCATGTTATACCTCTTCTTCAGAGCATTGATATAATTGCAATTTCAATAATTAAAACTGCTAGTCTCTTAGCTTTGGCCATGTCTGTCTAGTTCAATTTTCAGCACCAGTACACTGCTTGACTCACAACAGACTTTCCACACATGTCTGTTTCAAATGGTGAGTAATTCTATGATGGAAGCCTGCCTAGGCATAGGTCAAGTCCTCTTGTAACCTCTTCCCTACCTCCTCACTATCCCTGTTACCTCTTCCCTGCCTCACCAATTACTTGCTCTTAGTGGTCATATGAAGTGATCGACCAAGAAGAGTATGAATCCAACAGATTAAGCTGATTATGCTCAAACTAGGTAAGTGACATAGAAGCTTCACCTGCATTCCCATTTCCTCAAGCGTACTGTGGGAATAATAGGAGAACCTACTATCTAGGACAACTGGGAAAAACTCTGCAATAAACTTTGCACAATGCCTAGAACCCATTCATCAATAAATGACAGATACTCTTACTGATTATTAGAATTACTGGTAATTTTACTCCAACCCTTTCCATACTTTTTGCTTATTTTACCAATTAGAGTTGAATGGTTGAGTAAAATGCATTTGCAGAGCACTACAGCACCCCTCACTTTGGTTTTACACATCAGGAATAACAGAAGTACAATTTTCATAGAAACATACATTTCAAAGGATTATAGACTGAGGTTAATAATTCTTGTTTTGTGTGCAGTGGCCTCTGAACCTTCAGCAGCATTGGCTGGCCAGGGACAAAGCTCAGAAGGCAAGGAAGGATAGGAAAAAAGGCAAAGGGAGATGGTAAACACAAGGAGGAAATGGGAAGAGCGCTTCACACATCGTGGGGACTGCAATCAACGTCACGGAACAAAATGTCTATGAATTGTTGAATGGAAAATCAATTTGTTCCATAAACTTTCACCCACATCATAACAAAACAAAACCACTGTCTCGGTAATGAGTGTAACAGGCTTCCTGTTACTTTAGATTACAAAGTGAAATGGTGAACATGCTGACCTGTCAGGGCACCCATCCTCTCTGATCCTGCCCCACTGACCTTCTCCAGGCGGTATATGAGCTGCTTGGTGGAGAGCTGGACAACAGGTGCAATGAACTCACAGACGACATTCACAGTCATCACCAGACTCTTCCGCTTTTGTGTTCCGATGATGGCATGACACACCAGCATCTCTTTGACTTTCTGCAGACAAAACATACCGGCATATCTGGAACAACCATTAACTCAGAAAACTTAATGACCTGTGGAGAACAAATTGATTCACAACTACCTGCCCGGGTACCCCTGAGAAGAGTGTGTTTTCTGAATGGCACATTTCAGGGATCTTTCTCTGTCACACAATTAAAGTCTGGTTGGTTAAGTACGTCCTTGGTGGATCCTCTGTTTATTTCTCACTGCCCTGAAGACATAATTTACATTCAGCTCATCCAATATCTATGGGGCATCTTTTATGCATCAGGAGCTGCATTGGGGACAATATATACACAACAGTGATGAACTAGGTAGATCAGTCCTTTATGGGCCCTACTGTCCAATGGTAGTTATATTTCTTACCAAACTGGCTGAAAATTCTGACTTAATACTTACACATATCAAAAGTGCTATAGGAACCATTTCCTTTGGACTCAACAGGCCCAGATTTTTATAAAGTAAAAGGGACCAAAAGGAAATTGATATCATGAACAGCTTAGCTTGTGCTGAAGAGAGTGCTCCAGTTTCTGATTTAATGAATTCAAGTGTCTTCTCAATTATGTAGAATAATTTGGAAGGACATTTAGGGAAGCTTTTAGTAAAGCTTAAACTAAATTTATTCCCTCAGAGGCTCAGATTTATTTTAAAAATACAGTTGATGCTTGGTAACTACATTGTAATTGTGTTCTTTCAACAAACCTTAAGTGTCTTGAGACCAGGGGCTGCATTTCACTCATCTTTACACCCCTGGTGCCAAGCACGGTGTTCCCCACGTAGCATGTACTCAATAAATGTTAGCGGAATCTCTGAATAACAGATACAAAGAGCATATTGCGTCCTCCATGGTGACACGTTACCTCTTTTTTTGCACACAGGATGTGTTTCATCTGAAAATGCTCTGCGAAGACATAACGTAAATGAAATAAAGTGGAATCTATAACCCTAGAGGAACGAAGCAATGGACTAGATTTTCCATCTTGTCTTCTGTGAGACCTATTTCTTACTGTTTCCTATTTCATGAGGAGAAAATTCAGTATCACCTCCTAATTTGGTGAGACAAAACCAAACTCACTGCCATCAAGTCGATTCCAACTCACAGCACCCCCCACTGGGTTTCTGATGTGGTAAGTTTTTATAGAAGTAGATTGCCCCTTTTTTCTTCCACAGAGTGGCTGGTGGGTTTGAACCACCAACCTTATGGTTAGCAGTCAAACACCTTAGACACTGTGCCATGAGAGCTCTTTTTGGTGACACTAGCAGGAGCATAATCAGTATTAGCTTTTGTTAAAAACTGGATGCTCCTCTACCAAAGACTTGCTGGCTGGTCACTGCTGACCCTGGGAATGAGAACCTGCTTTAACTAGTACTTTAAGGTTGGGTTCCTGGTAGCTATAGAAAAAAAAAAAAAAAAAAACAGTAAACTGAGCAGAGCTGAATCCTGAAAGCAATAGGTGCTGCCATAGTAACTCAGTGCTGTATTCAATCCTTAGGATACAACATCCTTTCCTCAGATAAATGTCAAAGGACTCTGCTAAGAAATACCAAGCATTTATTTAGGAAAAAAAGAGCTTCTCAATGTGCTGTCCCCTTACCCTGGGAGTAGCAGAATAGCCTTCGAGTATCACATCAATTGTCTGGCCCGGGTACAGCTCCATCCTGATGGGGTGGAGCTGAAACACAGGACACTCTGTGTCCTTGAGTTCCTCGGAGCCCTTGGCCTGGAGCTGGCCATCACCAGAGCCCTTACTAGCCAGGCTCTTCTTGCTTAGCTTGTTCTGGGGACAATAACCGTAGTTCATCCAGTATAGCTGTTGGACCCGACGCCCCTTGTTGGCCAACTTGAAGCGGTAATAAAAGGTATCCAGGCTGCAAAACAGGAGACAGATGTTTAGAAGGCTCAATTTGGGGGTGTTCTACTCTGCTGTACACCCTTGGGAATCATTCATTGAAATGTAGGAAGACTAAATCATGACAATGCTGGGAATGACTGCAGTGATAAGCTAAGTTAAAACCTACTCATAGAGTCAACAGACTCATCAGAGACCCAGGTTTGGTCTCAGAGTTGCCATCACTATTCTAAGTGCTAGAGGAAAGTTGCCTCACCCATTTTTGGTCTTTCGAAGCAGGTGAAACAAACTATGGGACACAAAGACCCAGTTCATGTGAAAACCACTCTACTTTATGAAAAATGGTTCTGAAGAGTCAAAGGTCAGCAAAGTGTCTAGTGGAGGAGAAGCAAATTTCAAGTTCTGTTGACTAAATCTGTACTGACTGAGTATAATGTCTTGTGTTGGGCTAAATTTAAGGAAACTTCGAAAAGAAGTCACACAAATCCTCCAAGTCTTACTGAAAGCTCAAACTCAAACCAAACTCACTGCCACTGAGTTGATTCTAACTCACAGCAACCCCCACTGTGTTTCCAAGGCTATAAATCATTACAAAAGCAGACTGCCCATCTTTCTTCCATGGAGCAGCAGAGGGTTTGAACCACAAACCTTGTGATTAGTAGCCAAATGCCTTAACCACTACACCACCAGAGCTCCTTTACCAAAGGCTATTGTTGTTACTATTGTTATGTGCCATCAAGTTGTCTCCGACTCATAGCGACCTCTCCTTGGGTTTCCGAGGCGGTATCACTACGGAAGTAGATTGCCCAATCTTCCTTCTGAGGAGTGGCTGGTAGGTTTGAGCTACCAGCCTTCTGGTTAGCAGTCAAATGCCTTAGGCAATACACCACCAGAGCTCCCTACCAAAGGCTAGGGGGCTGTAAAAAGCTAGGATGCCATCTGGACTGACCACTTCTCACAGACTAATGTGCTTCAAAGGTGCTGCTACTATTTCATTCATTCATTCATTCCACAAATATTTATTAAGGATCTCCTAAATACCTGGTCTACTGTTTATTTGTTAGTCACACTGTGGTGGCCTGTATGTTGCTGTGATGCTGCAAGCTATGCCACTAGTATCTCAAATACCAGCAGGGTCATGCTTGGTGGATAGGCTTCAAGGGAGCTTCCAGACTAAGACAGACTAGGAAGAAGGGCCTGGAAATCTTCTTCTAAATATATTGGCTGGTGGAAACCTTATAAATAGCAGCAGAACGCTATCTACTAACAGTGCCTAAAGATGAGACCCTCAGGTAGGAAGGCATTCAAAATATGACTGGGGAAGAGCCACATCCTCAAGGGAGAATCGGTCTTAATCTCAAGAGCATCTCAAGGATAGATTTGACACATTGAACACCAATGACTGAAGACCAGATGAGCTGTGGCATGATATAAAGGACATCATACGTGAAGAAAGCAAAAGGTCATTATAAAGACAAGAAAGATAGAAAAGACAACAATGGATGTCAGAAGAGACTCTGAAACTTGCTCTTGAACATAGAGCACCTGTGCCTAATGTATCTGACTGCTAACCAAAAGGCTGGTGGTTCAAACCTACCAGCCACTCCTCGGAAGGAAGACTGGACAATCTACTTCTGTAGAAATGTTGTTGTTGTTGTTATGTGCCTTTGAGTTGGCCCCAATTCACAGTGACCCCTCCTTGGGTTTCCGAGGCAGTATCACTATAGAGATACAGCCTCGGAAACCCAAGGAGGGGTTGCTATGAGTCAGATCCAACTCGATGGCAGTGAGTTTTTTTTTTTTTTTTTTTTTTAAGTGAATGGATAAAATGATAATGTAAAAGAGCTGAACAGAAGATTTCAAAGAGTGACTAGAGAAATTCAACCTTCAAGTTGCAGTACTGAAGGTCTATGGACAAAATGCTCAGTAACACAGGAAGCACCAAAAGAAGATGGAAGAAATAGAATAATTCTTCCAAAAAGAATTTGTCGGCATCCACTCATTTCAGAAAGCAGCACATGATCAAGAACCAATGATTGAAAGAAGAAGTATAAGCTGCACTAAAGACATTGGTGAAAAACAAAGCTCCAGGAATTGATGGACTATCAATTGAGATGTTCCAACAAACTGATGTAACACTGGAAGCACTCACTCATCTATGCCAAGATATTTGGAAGGCAGCTATGTGGCCAACTGATTGGAATTTGTGCCCATTCCAAAGAAAGGTGATCCAACATGCAGAGATAATCAAACAATACCATTACTATCACATGCAAGTAAAGTTTTTCTGAAGATGATTAAACAATGGTTGCAGCAGTGCATCAACAGGGAACTGCCAGAAATTCAAGCAAGATTCAAAAGAGCGTGCAGAATGATGCACTGCTGATGTCCAGTGGATCTTAGATGAAAGTGGAGAACATTAAAAAGATGATACCTGTGTTTTACTCTGTGGATGCATTTAATTGTGTGGATCATAACAAATTACAGATAACACTGTAAAGAATAGGAGTTCCAGAACATTTAATTATGTTCATGTGGAACCTGTACGTAGACCAGGAGGCAGGCATTTGAACAGAACAAGGGGATAATGCATGGTTTAGAATCAGGAAACGTGTGGGCCAGGGTTTTTGCTTTCCCCACACTTACTCAATCTGTATGCTGAGCAAATAATCCAAGAATCTGGACTATATGAAGAAGAACGTGGCCTCAGGATTGGAGGAAGACTCATTAACAACCTGTGATATGCAAATAACACAACTTTGCTTGCTGAAATTAATGATGACTTGGGGCATTTACTAACAAAGATTAAAGACTACAGTCTGCGGTATGGATTACACCTCAACATAAAGAAAACAAAAATACTCACAACTGGACCTATGAGCAGCCTCACTTTAAATGGAGAAAAGAATGAAGTTGGCAAAGATTTCATATTACTTGGTTGCACAATCAACAGCAATGGAAGCAGTCAAGAAATCAGATGATGTATTGCAATGGGCAAAACTGCTGCAAAAGACCTCTTTCAAGTGCTGGAAAACAAAGATGTCTCTTTGAAGACTAAGGTGCACCTAACTCAAGCTATGGTGTTTTCAGTCATCTCATATGCATGTGAAAGCTGGACAATGAATAAGGAAGACCAAGAAGAGTTGATGCTTCAAGTTGTGGTGTTGGCGAAGAATACTCAAAGTCCCATGGACTGCCAGAAGAACTAACAAATCTGTCCTTGGAAGAAGTGCAGCCGACTGCTCCTTGGAAGTGAGAATGGCAGACTTCGTCCCACCTACTTTGGTCATGTTGTCAGAAGGGATCATTCCCTGGAGAAGGATGATCATGCTTGGTAAAGTGGAGGGTCAGCAAAAAAGGGGAAGACCCTCAACAAGATGGGTTGACACAGTAGCTATAACTATGGGCTCAGGTACAGCAAGGATCATGAGGCTGCTGCAAGACCAGGCAGTGTTTTGTTCTGTTGTACACAGGGCAGCTATGAGTTGGAGCAGATTCAACGGCACCCAACAACAACAACAGGTAGAAGGAAGTCAGCATCTAAAAGCTACAGTTTGTTCCTACATTCCTAGGAAACTGTTAGCTAACTCTCTAATTCCAGGCAAGTGTTAGAGTATTCTCTGGGGCTACTTGGCACTATTTGCAGATTAAGGAGAACATGTTATTAAGTTTGTAGCATATTATTTCATGTATTTATATTTGAGTGTACTTAACAAAGAAATTGAAAAATAGAAGCTCTAGTATGCAATGAGAAAATACCCTGATTTGTGACCAATAGAGATGTAGAGAGGATTCTTCCTCTAGTTCACACAAACATCATGAATACTTCTCTGAAACATAAGCAATTCGATCTTGTGATGGCCTGTTACTTAATTATCTACTGGTTTATGGTTTTTAAAATCAGGCGCCATGTTTCATACGTGGTACAGAGGAAAGGAGGCATGGCGAGGGTATGGAAGGCTCTTAACAGCTCATCGTCAGTGCCATCTTTCCTAACAGTGCATCCAACTTAGTTTTAGGGTCCTTTAGACCAAAAGGCAGGAGCACCATTTTGAGTTCTCTTCAGTCTTGCATCGGGCAGCTACAATTCAGGTGATTCCTCTGTGTCAATTCTTATCCTCTCCTGAGCAACCATGTGCCCCCACCCCGACATTTCCTCCACTCTTAGCATTCAACCCTGATACACTTTTAGATCCATTTGGATTGTTCTGCTTAGAGGTATCTATACTGTACTACCTTTTATTTAAATACTTAGACTTTATAGCTTTTCCTGGGTGATCAGTTGAATCTAATTGCAATAATCTCATTTTTGTGGTGCTATGGTGGGAATGCAAGCAGGAGACAAAACATCCAAAAAGCTACTGGCTTTACAATACCTGATAAGCTACATTTGCAATATATTTTTGCCTTCCGAGGAATACTTAAGGAGCCCTGGTGGTGCAGTGATTAAATGCTTGCCTGCTAACTGAAAAGACGGTGCTTTGAACCCACCAGCTACTCCATGGGAGAAACAGGTAGCACATTATAAAGATTTATAGTCTTGAAAACTCGATGGGGGCAGTTCTACTCTGTTCTGTAAGGTTGCTGTGTGTTGGAATTGATTTGATGACAGCAGGTTCAGGTATCCTTTACTTAGGTTATCACTAATATTTGTATTTTCTGTGTGCATGCATAGGAGGTTCCAATGTATGGAATCAAAGGGCACAAATTATGGTTGAGAGTCTAAATTTGTCACAGAGAAGCCATTATAAGTTTAAGAGAATACACATGCTTTGAACCATCTCTTTCTCCAGCGAAGAGGGATGCAGCTTGGATAATGCACCTGAGTTAAGTCTACAAAATGTCTTTTTGTGGCTGATGGGCAACAGAGGCAGGAAGTGAGAATGGGAAGGGAGAGGGGCTGTGGTGGCAGTTCTAGTTCCTTAAAAACAATTCTGTAAAAGTGGAGGTGAGGCTCAGCTTGTGCAACAGATGTGATAGCTGTGAAAACTGGTCGATGACATTTCCCTACCTAAAATATGCTCCCAAATTGAGTTCTGGAGCAAAGGGCTTATCGGAAACAATGGTGGAACCAATTCCTGAAGCCCTGACAGGAATCCGATAGGTGTTGCTGTTTTCGATGTGCAAAATGATCGTGTCTTTGAATGTCAGTACGTCATTCAGGTTGGCGGTCACTTCCAGTTGAAAATCAGATTCTGGGGGGACCATGCCTTCAACGGGTTCAACCTTCCAAAGGGACTTCTTGCGTGCCTGCAACACAAGACTACAAGTTAACAGTGAAGAAATTCTTGGCTTTTCATTCTGCACATGTCAGAGCCCTCTATACTTCAGATGGCTGGCACGGAAGAATTCCACATCAGAGACAAACATTATTTTTTGCTATCAAAGCAGCTGGGTGTTTGTTGGCTTTTCTGTTTTTCAAAAAGCAATCTGACTCTGAAGAGCAAACCTAGGATTCTACTTCTAACACTCTGTGAAGATTCTTCACATCTCTTCCCCTAGATGACAGCTCAGTTATATAACAGACTTATACTATTTATTTGCTCTAATCTCTAAATTTTGAGACACTAACAGAAGGTACAACATTCTTCCTATAATCTGTAACTTTTAAAGGAAACATTTTTCAAACTCAAAGTTTCTATGATGTTACAGTAATTGTAAGCAGCTTTCATAAATAAACACAATATAAGAAGCCACCTTGGTTTCTAGTATTTCATAATAATCAATAGAATTTCATTATTCAGCAATAAAAAGAAATGAAATACTGGTACACTTTACAATAGGGATGGACCTCAACAACACTGCATATGCTAAGTGAAAGAAGCAAGACACAAAGCCACATATTGTGTGAGTCCTTTTATATGAAATGTCCAGAACAGACAAATCCATAGAGACAACAGCAGATGAGTAGTTGCCGGGAGATGGGGAAGGGGAGAACTAGGGCTGGCTGCTAACAGACACAGGGCTCCACTCGGAGGTAACAGAAGTGTTCTGGAATTAGATAGTGGTGATAGTTGCACAAGTCTGTGAATAAACTAAAAACCCCTCATGAACTGTACACTTTAAAGGGGTGAATTTTATGGCGTGTGAATCACAGCTTAATAAAGCTGTTAAAGAGAGTAACTCTTAAACATAACCTGTCTACTTGTCCATTGCCTCATATTGTCTGTAGAACCCTTAAAGGTATTTTTGTATAATTTGCTTCTTATTAAATTATACTTGTTTATTCTTCCATAATAAATTAATTTGTATATGAAAAAAATTTTCATTTGCTACAATTTTGTGATTATTTTGGAATGTATGATAGGACTGAATCATAGAGTTAGAAGGGATTCCCACTAATCTGCTACCAGTAGCTACTTAGATCCTCATAGTTCATAGTTCAATCCCTTTCCTCCTTCAGGAAGAGCTGTGGAAATTATTTAGAAACTTCTAGGAGAATAACTGGGAGAAAGAGCCAAACTCTCCAGTTCATTGGAGAAGAGTCTGATGTTCCCTTGTGAATGTTCCTCGATCCCTCAGACTCATCTGGCTGTGGAGGCCCCTCGAAGTGAATCACAGGGAAAACAAGGTGTTTAAAACACACATAAGGTATATTGTTTGAGATGGTACTTAGAGAGCATTCTAGTCCACAAGTACCCTTCCTCCATTTAACTGCTATGACGCTGTTCTTCTAGCAAAAGGAAAAAAGGAGAAACATAAAACCATCCATAGCTCTTTCGGGGTTTAGACACAATTTAAGGCTATGAATCAGAAACGTCCTCAGGTCTAGTTCGGAATGGAGATGCACTGACCATATGTGTAAATGAAACGTACGTTCCAGTTTGCACGCAGAGTTTTCACCAGGCACAATCTCACATGGTGCCAGTGCCTGGAAATGTCCCTCAAATCCATGTCTGGCCCCAGCTCAAGTCTAGAAATTGGATTTGGTCAGTGGGTCCTGATGGTCACTCTCAGGAACAGGCTCACAGGTATTTAAATAAGGAGAATCTAGTATTTGAGCCAGAATGCCAATTTCCTAATTTACAAGTGAGGACAAATTCTGCTGGACAGACCAGAGCATTGTTTCTCATGTTGAAAGTCTACATGGAAAATGACAAATTGCATTTTAAAACACGACTAAATAACCAAAGCAGAAAATAACAATCCTCAAGATTATAAATTACATATAATGGGGACATAGATGAATAATAATGTAGAAATTTTAATTTTGGTATTAATGTAAATTATAGATTTAACTTTAAGTCAAGAGTCCTATTATTATTACTCATGATCTTTTAATATGGTACATTTCTAGAGACACAGAAATAGAAGAAAACCATTAAACATTAAATACCATACTAGATAAACCAGGGCCCAGATGGGGACACATGTATAATAATTGCCTCTATTCGAAGGACACTGTGGAAAAAAATGCTACACCTTGTCCTGCTCATATTTTCTTCTAAGCTTTTTCTGTCATTGTTCTGTTCACAGTATGCTGGCTCCAGAAGGACACTGACATACTGAGTCTCTGTCTTTCCAGACCATTAACCTGATCTGTTTATAATTTTATATTAAAATATTAGTGACAAAGAGATAAGAAGAACCTCATAAACTTGATTTTCATAACTGTAGATCTATTACCACTGGCAGGAGACACTATCAGGATAGCACATCACTATATTCTGTTGATATTTAGGTTCAAAGAAAAAATTTCTGGTGTATCTTCATGATTTATCCAAATTTTTTTTTTTATCATCCCTAAGTGACAAATACAAAAATCCTCTTCCACATTAATCAAAGAAAAGGATACAAATTAGGTATAAATGTAATTTCAACTTTCTATCAATATTTTACAATGGATTAATGTAGGTTCATTTCATCTCAACTTTTTATGACGATAGGAGTCTGGCTTATGTAACTTCCAGTCTGACCTATATAGTCCAAGAAATACATTGAAAGAAGATGTCTCATACTTGAGTGACTTAGAACTACTTATCTTCCTTTCAGTATTTAGATTGTAGGCTGCTACTTTAGATCAGGTGATACGAACTGCTGTAACAGAAAGACTTCTGAAGCCCAGTGGCTTAATCCAACAGAAGCTTATTTCTTGCTCACAGAATTCTAGTTGGTGGCAGGGTGGGGATGGGTTTCTGTTCCAGTCACTCAGCCAGCCAGAGTCCCTGGCTAAACAGATGATGTCATATTTAACCTGTGGCTTTTAGGTTTTTCTGGATATTGACATCCAGCTGTCCAAGAAGTGAAAAAGGACAATGGAGGGGCACACGGGAGGATTTTGTGCACCAAGCTTGGAAGTGGACACATTACTTCTGCCCACTTCCACTGGCCAGGACTCAGTTATGTGGCCAACTTGAGAGAAGGTGAGGATATAGAGTCTGGCTCTGTGTCCAAGATAGAGGTGGTGATAGATTTGGTGACCTGCTAGCTATTCTCTGCCACAGTTCCTCTGGTGGTTCAGTCTACTGCTACATCCGCAGGCCTTCCTCCAGCTCCCCGACACCTCAGAGTTGAGAGGTGAGGAGCTCACTCCATCAGAGCACAGAAGTGGAAATGGAACTTAGAATCTTAAACCTGATGGGAGCCGCAGACCCAGAATTCCTTTCCAATTGCTGTTAGGACAAAAGGAGAGGCAGCTGGGAGAGAACATTAGAAAGCTCTAGGAACATGAACTCACAGTTGGCCCTTCTACCCAAAATCGTGGCCTTAGAGCACTCTACATGGCTTTTATGCATTTATGAGACTAGACTTGCAGTTGAAACTAATCAGTGCCATTTTCACCTTCCTTTAATCAAAAGGCATATGCCTTCCAGAAGAGGGTGTTGTCAATGCCATCATTCCTAGTGCAACCATTTATTTTCCACTTCTAGTCAGCAGCACAGGTCAAGTCTCTGTCCCACAATGGAGAGGATGTCACCACTAAGTGCTATTTCAAGTCAGGGCAATTAGTTCTCAATGGATGTGTACCATTTCTTTGCTGATTCCTGCTGACACAGGTTGGCTGCTCCGGAAAGACCTGGGAGCTGCTCTCCAGAGTTGAACTGGTGAGTTTTTGGTTTGTTCTGTTTTTTGACAAAGCTTATTAATCAGCACTTGGTATAAAATGAGGCAGCAAAGTGTATCATAGACTCCAACAACATGGTGCAGTAAGATGCAGATACTAAGGTGCTGGGCTATTCTTACCAAACACCAAGCTCCAAACCTCAGTAACACCCTGATGTCACTCTGGTATTTGGCTTTTCTGGGGACCTTTTGCTTTTAGAAGGAACTCTGGTGATGTAGTGCCTAAAGCATTTGACTGCTAACCAGAAGGTTGGTGGTTCAAACCCACCAGCTGCTCTGCAGAAGGAAGGTGGGGCAATCTACTTCTGTAAAGATTTACCACCTTGGAAACACAATGGAGGTCGCTGAATTGGAATCAACTCGATGGCAGCGGCTTTGGGTTTTTTCTTGTTTTTTTTGCTTTAGGGAGGAGTTGGGATACGTAACATTTTCTGATATTAAATGGCAAATTAGGTTAAAGAAGGAATGAAGGGGTGACAGTCATCATAGCTAGGGAGGGCATTCTGTCACCTTTTCAAAACCACAATACAGCAAGTAACAACTGGTGGAATTCTATCTGGAAGGAAGATTCTAAAGGAAGAGACAGCTCTGCCTCTTCCAGCTGTGGGATGTTGGATACATGACTTAATGTCCGTTTTCTCATCTTTAGCTCAGGACGTTAACTGCTCCTTCCACATAGAGTTACAGTGATGGTTATATGAGAGGATACACGTAAAATACTCAGCAGTGTTTGGCACACAGTATGTCCTCATAAATAAAAGGCATTTTCATCATTTTACTCACACCTGGAAAGTCCCACATGATATATAATTATGGGCTAAATTCCAAACCCAAAGCCATTTCCACTGAGTTGATTCTGATTCACAGCGACCTTGTAGGAGAGAGTAAGACTGCCCCATAGGGTTTCCAAGGCTGTAAACCTTTATGGAAACAGAATGCCTCATCTTTCTCCAATGGAGTGGCTGATGGGTTTGAACCGCTGACCTACTGGTTAGCAGCTGAATGCTTTAATCACCGTACCACCAGAGCTCCTCATGGGTTCAATAGTATTTGCTAAAATAATAGATTACAAAACTGAGAAAACAAAGAAGGGTGCTAAAAAGACATTTAACATACAATATTCTTGCCAGAGGGAGCTCTGGTGGCATAGTGCCTAAGGCATTTGACCGCTAACCAGAAGGCTGGTG